CAATAACTGAGAAAATGACATGAAGGCTGTGTTGACCAGTTTGATGGAAGTATTTCAGATTGCATGTGAAAACCCCACACTGTACCCCAGAAGTGCATTAATGTACATAGTTATCATTCAATTAAAAAAAAAATTACTAAATATGTATTTCTACCATACACAGAACCTTCCAGCACACTGGAAAGTTATATGCATAACTTTAATAAACATGCAACAAACAATGGATTATAAAGTAGGACCCTCAAACTTCATAGATACATACAAGTATATATGAGTGCTGTCCAAAAAGTATCCAGCCATTGTTAATACTATTTTTTATGTTACGTGGCTAGATATTTTCTGGAAACTCCCTACCCCTACACACATACACCCTCTCTCTTACAACAGTAAAGCTTTCTCACTATTTCTCAAGTGAATGGGAAATTTAGTTTAAAAAATTAAGAAGTAGGCCAGCACAGGGGCTCACACCTATGTTTCTAGCATTCTGATTTGCTGAGGTGAGAGGATTACTTCTGCTCCGGAGTTTAAGACCAGCCTGAGCTAGAGCAAGACTCTGTCTCTACTAATAGAAAAATGAGCTGGGGTGACTGTAGTCCCAGCTACTTGAGAGGCTAAGGCAGGAGGATGGCCTGAACCCAGGAGTTATGAGGTTGCTGTACACTAGGCTGATGTCACGGTACTCTCTAGCCTAGAGCAACAGAGTAAGATTCTGTCTCTCAAAAAAAAAAAAAAATTAAGAACTTGAGAGTTCATATGTGTAAATATTCTTAAAATATTATTCTTTCAGCTGGGTGCAGTGGCTCACACCTGTAATCCTAGTACTCTTAGGATGTCACAACTCTCTAGCCTGGGGCAACAGAGACTCTGTCTCCCCCACCAAAAAAGAAAAAATATATATATATATATAATTCTTTCATTTAACTTTTTTTACAGATGAATAGAAAATCCAGTTTCAGAATTTTTTTAAGAATTTTAGATTCTAAAGTTACCAACCCTACCCCAATCCCCACCCCTACTAAAACAAGCTTTGGAATTCTCAATTTAAGTAAGATGTATGACCATAATATAATGACAGAATTACACAAGCAGCTTGTATAAACCTCAAATTTCAAAACATAAGCACACTTTCCCCTGACCTTTAAACAGCACCTCACTGACCGAAATGGACTAATGCCACTCAGAGCTGGAAGAACTGGGAATACAGCAATAGGATAGCAACTTGCACAACACCATGTACCATCTGCTCCTTAAGTCAAATCCTACCCAGATGGGCTCACTTCAGATAAAGAAGTTTCTAGGGTAAGAAACTTAATTAAACTTAAGTTAATACTCCCACTCTCCCCTCCTAAAAACAAATACCTCAGAATTCTAATCATGTAAGTATAGCCATAGCACAGTGGTTACAGAGCAAGCCACATGCACCGAGGCTGGTGGGTTCAATCCCAGCCCGGGCCAGCTAAACAAGGACAACTGCAACAAGAAAATAGGTGGAGTGGTGCCTGGTGGGTTCAAACCCAGCCCTGGGCAGCTAAAACAGCAGTGGCAACTGCAACCAAAAATAGCTGGGCGTTGTGGTGGGCACCTGTAGTCCCAGCTACTGGGAAGGCTGAGGGAAGACAATCGCCTAAGTCCAAGAGCTGGGAGCTGTGATGCCACCGCACTCTACCGAGGGCAACAAGGTGAGACTCTGTCTCAAAACAAACAAACAAAAAAAGTATAGCCATATCAACACTGTTCTGAGGGTTGTGGTAAGGGTAGCTCTGAGGTGGGTGAGTAGCAAATGCTCGGTGGTGACATGCAAGACACTAGCTTGTAAAGACTATCATGGACCCACCCTCTTAAGTAGCTACTTGCTCATCTATAAATTAAGACTTTAATTCATAGGTTCATAGGTTTTTTTTTTTAATGTAGAACGCAACATGAAAATAGAAACTCAAAATTCTATATAAACATAATCCCACTAAGATATAAGAAAGAGGATCTTGAAAAATGTCTGTCTTAGGGCCAGAACAGCTGTGGTGCTTGAACCTCAGTCAGTTAACACCTGGCTTCTGCAGGTACTGAGTGGCAGGGTATCCAGTGATCAACAGTGGCCTTTGAAGGATAAGACACTTCAAATATACTCCTATACTGAGATCCTACAAGAATACATTTGGTGAATTATCCAGTTTCACAAATAGCTGAGGCATGGACAAAAATAACTTGCCACAATCTGAAACCACACACAGACTGAATAGCAGAGAAATCCTACAAGAGAACAGGACTGAATTAAGATGCATCTGGTTCCTATCATTTAACAGGTGGGAAAAGTGAGTTCCAAATGTCAAATGGTTTGACAAAAGTTACAGCGAGAGAATGGCAGCTACAGCAAACTTCAGAACCCTGGTGTTCTAACCCTGGGTCCAGAGTTTTTACTTAAGCTGAGCAAAGATTTTGGTTTAACCTGAGCATCCCATCGGCAAACAATCTCTCTTAAACCTTAAATACATCTGGCCACTAAATTCCTAACAGTCATCAGAATCCCTTAAGCATGTGCTGAGAAACAGTCCCGCACTTTCATTTCTGAGCCATTAAACCCAAGCCCTAGAAAGGAGGAAGCCGTCATACCCACTCCAGGTACAGGAAAGGTAAACATCCTCACTTCTCACCGGGCTCCGTGGACCATATCCGAGGCTTCCCACTCAGTGCCGTCTCCCCCAGACAATTCGGCAGACAATTCCCAGACAACTCCCAGACAATTCGGCTGAAAACTGGTCTCCCTCCCGAGCCACAGCTGTGCACCAGATGCGGACCACTCTCACCCCAGTCACACGGCGAGCTAAAGATATCCGCGCCGCACCTGGGGCAGAGCCGCTCCCCGGCCTTGCCCGGCTCCCAGGGCCGGTGCTGCCAAGGGTCCTCTCCGCAGCCCCGGCCCCGGGAACCTCACAAACCCACCATGGGGCCGGGCCTGCCCTGCCTGTCCCCCGCACGCCCGGATGGGCTGCGCGGCGACCCGGGGACCTGGCTCGGCCCAGCCCGCACTTACCGGCAGCTCCGCCGCCGCTGCCCCGGCCCGGCCCCTCGCCCTCCACGGGGCCGCTCGGCTCCTCCGCGCCCGGCCGCCCGCTCCGCCCGGGCGCTCCCAGGGCCGGGGCCGCTGCGCCCGCACTGGGCATGCCCGGGCCGCACGGGGCCGCCGGGAAGTCGGGCGGCGCGGAGGAGCCGCCGGGGCGGAGGGGGCGGGGCCCGGCAGCCGAGCGGGCAGGCGGCGCGGGGCGGCGCAGCCTGGGAATTGTAGTCGGATCAGAGACTCCCGGCTCCGCCTGGCGGCCGGGCGCCACCGCCTCACCTCCTCCCTGACCTAGTGTATACTGATCCCTTGTCCTGTTCTTTCTTTGCCCACCAGGTTTACTCAACTGCATCGCTTGTCTTTCTCCCCTGTTCCCACCCTCTATCACTCCCCATCTCTTCTCTCCTTTCCACCCCCTCTGGCTTTGTTTAAACCTGCTACTGTGGGGGCCACCTACAGAATCAGATTGTTATATCTAGTAGCTCTAGATGTCCAGATCATGACAGAACAAATACTCAGGACTCGTGAATGTCTTCCAGTTGTATGTACTGGGAAGGTGTTGGCGTCTACTCCCTGACCCAACTTCCAGCCCCATTCTAGAATAAACTAGCCAGCAGCCTTAGTGGCTAACACTTATAATCCTCTGGGAGGTGAAAGAGGGCAGATTGCTTGAGCTCAGAAGTTCAAGACCAGCCTGAGCAAGAGTGAAACCTGGTCTCTACTAAAAACAGAAAAATTACCTGGGTGTCCTGGAGCAGGTGTCCTTGCTCAAGGGTGTCCCAGCTACTTGGAACGCTGAGGCCAGAAGATCACGTGAGCCCAGAAGTTTGAGGTTGCTGCGAGCTATGACACAAGGGCACTCTGAGTGAGACTCAATCTCAAAAAAACAAATAAATAAAATAAAATAGCCCCCTACCCCTAGGCTGAAACTTTAACTTCTGTTTAAGGAAGAAGACGCACGAAGGTAAAACCAACAAGATTATGGAAAGGGAATGAAGGATTCGGAAGTGTCAAAAAGAGTAGGAACCAAGAAGTAATGGTCCAACCTAGGATTTATAAATGGAAACTCTGATAGGGAGGACACCTATCAGAGATGGGCGATAATACCTTCACTGAAAAGAGATCTAGGAGTATTCTCACAAATTTCCTATTTGTGATTAAGATGTGATAAAATAGGCGGTTGGGGCGGGGTGGCTCATGCCTATAATCCTAGCACTCTGAGAGGCGAGGCAGGTGGATTGCCTGGGTTCACAGGTTGGAGAACAGCCTGAGCAACTGCGAGACCCCCGTCTCTAAAAATATAGCTGGGGGCGGCACCTGTGGCTAAAGGAGTAGGGTGCCAGCCGCATATACAGGAAGTGGCAGGTTCAAATCCAGCCCCAGCCAAAAACTGCAACAACAACAACAACAATAATAGTAATAATAATAATAAATAGCTGGGCGTTGTGGCGGGCACCTGTAGTCTCAGCTCCTTGGGAGGCTGAGGCAAGAGAATCACTTGAGCCCAGGAGT